CTTGTAGAAGACATCAATTCCGTTTGGTAGCTCCTCTGCAAATTCCTGTAATTCCTGTAAAAATATTCCTGTAATATAATTACTGGAAAAATATTATTTACAATGAAGAAATGAATGAGATGGAAACAAGGAAAAAAGGAACAAGGAATCTCTATCGTGTTAACAGTAGTCACGTCTCAAACATCTTCAAGCAGAGTTATAGTTGGAAGTGACCATGATGAAAGTCACAATGACTAGAAAAAAAGTAATCAAATGTAATTGCAAACACTGACATCGATAGCAGTTAACCTATGATACTAAGTGGTATTGTACCAGCATTTAATTAATTTTGCAAATCAGTCCAGCGTCAGTATTTAAAAGGTCAGTCCCCAAAATGTACACAGGCTAGAACTGAAAGGCAAGACCCACGGCCGGATACACGATACCCAGCATGTGCACAATACAATGCTCTGTGTAACAGAACACAAATGTAAATAGAGCCACGGATCTATGGGAAAGGTTTCTGCCACCCAGCCTCGAGAAGAAAATGCATTAGCTTGCACTGACAGTAAGCTCTTGTTCAACACATGGCACAAAAGCCAGTAGCAAACATAGCAACACCGAGACTTTTAAGACTACTTAGGAAGTAATCTCCGTGGTCTCATGGTGAAGACTCAAGGCTAGGTACTAGTGAGTGAGGTTCTGGCAAGTTCTGTGTCCTGCTCTCCTGTCTTTGAACACTGCCACTCAAGAGTCTTGCACAAAAAATTTCATTCCTATGGGGCAGATATAATACACTCCAGAAGGGAACTGAACATAAAAACTGCATATGGAAGACAGTGTAAAGCCCCTAAAGCATCACCCAAGCATAGTCATTAGAATAAAAGTAAACCAGCTCAGTTTGTGTTGAGTCCTACATAAAAGCACAAACACAAACTGGGTTCAGTGATACCTCAATACCAAGGGAGATCATTAATGACACTCTTTCCTCCCATTCCCTAGATGAGATGTAATTATAGAATCATAGAATATTAGGGGTTGGAAGAAACCTTAAAGATCCCCTAGTTATAGCTCCCGCTGTCCTGGGAAAGGACCATTCCCACTAGATTAGGATGCTCAAAGGCCTTCTCCAACCTGGCTTTGAACAATATGGAGTCTCCACACAATATTTTCTTTTCCAGGCTGAACAGCCCCAAACATTCCCTGTAGGGAAGGTGCTTTAGTCCCCTATCAACTTCGTGACTCTCCTCTCTGCTTGCTCCAGCACCTTAATCCACCATTAAACCATTGCTGGGCTTTTGGCGAAGAAGGACATTCCACTTCTATAACAGCTTCCTTTCTTTTTGATTTAATGAAAGAAAAAAATACATTTTAAATTACTCGAGAATTGGAACTTGGGGATTTCACACCGACGCCCGGCCCAGCGGCAGAGCCCGCCGGGGATGGGGCAGGCAGGCAGGGCGAGGACGGGCCGCTGCTCCCGGGAAGCAGGATTTGAGAGCACACCTCCACCCGCACAGAAAGGTTATTCCCGGGCGCGACCTCGGACACCCTGGAGACACCGAGCGGGTCTGGCACGGCGCGGTCCAGCCCGGCCCGCAGCGTGTCCCGAGCTGACACCGCCCGCCCGGCAGGCACTCCGTCCGTCCGTCCGTCCGTCTGTCTGTCCGGCAGACCCAGACCGCCGCCTCCTCGGCGGGCGCAGCACACAGACACGAAGTTTTCGGGCCGCCACTTCCCAGACCAACCCAGACACATTAACCCCGCGCTCTCCCTGCAGCCTCCCGCGGCGCCTGCCTGCCTCCCTACTCCCCGTCAGCGATTCCCAATAAACTTCCCCCTCGCCCTTCTCCTCCTCCCTCTCCCGCCGTACCTCTGCCCCCCCGCTCCCAGCCGCTACCACCGAGCGCCGCGGAAGGGGGGAAGTCGGGGCAGACAAGCGGGAGGGGGGGAAACCAAAGGGAGGGGGGGCGGGTTGGGGAAGGACGAGCGTGGCGAAGGGGGTTCCTCGCCCAGCAGCCAATCGGCCGCCGGGCGCGCGGCGCACGCCGGGAGGCGTAGTTCTGCGCCGTTCGCCATTTTGTGGCGAGGGAACTACAACTTTCCCCACGATCAAGGACAGTTGTTGGGGCCTGCGCGGCCAAACGTGGCTTTCAGGTGCTGCCTGCGCTGCGGGCCCCCCGTGCCTGTCGAAGCCGGGGGAGACGCGGCGGGCGCAAGGACGGAGCGGAAGGACAGCCCTTAGCAGGCGGGAGGAGAGAGGAGGCTGCAGCGGGGCGGGGAGGGGGGCAGGGCACGGCGACAGAGCGTGCTGCGCTCTTGAGGGACCGTCGTCAAACTCCCCGCTCGGGTTTCGGCGTGGGGCTCGCGGCGACCTTGGCTGCCGTGTGGCCACGCCGAAATGCCGAAAGAAGGGAGGTGGGAAGAGTGGTGGGCTGTGAGAGAGGGAAGCGCGTGAGGCTTGACCCGCATGGAGCGTTTAGCGGGGCCTGTTGCATGCGCTGAGCGCGGCGAGAGGCCGGGCGCTGCGGTTGCTGCCCCGGTTGGGAATTAAGGGCGAGCCCTAGGCGGTGTATGCATGTATGTGTGTGTGCCGTGTGTCCGTGTGTGTATATATATACACACACACACGCATACATACATATATATACACACACACGCACGCACACACACACACACAGATACACGCGCGCGCGCACGCACGCAGACATAGATATTAACAACAGAGGAGGAGAGGAAAAAAAAAAAAAAAAAAGAGCCAGGTCCATTTAAAGTTGCTGGCGGAGAGCTGCTCTCATTGGCTGGGGGGGAGCTGGAGGAGCGGAGACACACACGGTGCGTGCAGCCCTCGCTGCCGCCGCCGCTGCTGCCGCCGGAGCCGCCGCCGCTGCTGGAGTTGTCCCTGCCGCTTTCCCTGCTGCAGCGGCACAAACGTGACTTCCAACGTCCCGATTATTTATCTTCTCCTCCCGGCCCCTTTCCTCCTCCAAGATGTAACTACAGCTCTGACACTAAGGACCTGCAGATCGCTTAGGCGGCTTGAGAAAGAGAAAAGGGGATATCAAGGGCGTCGTTTTTTGTGTTTAGGGGGAAATTTTCCATTATAATGCTTCACTAAAGTGATTTTTTTGTTTGTTTCCTTCGCATTCGTCTTTTTTTTTTTTTTTTTTTTCTTCCGTCCCCCATTTCTCGGATTTATTGCTAGGAGAATCACATTGTGAGGAAAGAAAGTCGGATTACAAGATACCACTACAAACAACCCCCTCCCCCCTGGATTTTTTCGGTATTTTTAAATTTTTTTTTTAATTGTCTCGGCTTTAATTCATGAAGCAATTGTCCCCTTTTGCAATCAGAATTTGGATACCAGAATGAGCAAAGAAAGACCCAAGAGGAATATAATTCAAAAGAAATACGTAAGTGGTCATAACATACATCGTTTGACTCCCCGTTTTAGGAAATGGCAGTGAATGTCAAGTTTATAGCTAATCTTGCAGCCCTAAGGCTTTGGGAACAAATGTGATGCTGAATTTGATTTTTCTGTGGTGTGGTGGGGGAGTTTCAGAGGCCCCTTTTAATGGGGAAGCCTGCTATCCAGTTCGGTTATAAAACCAGATTTGTGTAGCGATTCCTCCAGTGTATAAATGTATTGACCTCAAATGACACAATCATAATCTAGTTTTAGATGAAACGCGAGGAGCTCGGGGGGCTGCCACGATAGTGTCACCGAACTGCATTTTCAAGCGGTATTCTTAATTCTGTGCTTTTGCATGCTAAAATAGGTTTATTGTTGGTTTTTTGGGGTTTGGTGGTTTTTTGGTTGGGTTGTTTTTTTTTTTTTTAATTTATTTTTTTAATTTTTTTTTTTTAATTATCTACGTGTGTCTATCCCCGTCTGGTGAAGCGGCGGCGGTGGTTGTTGGAAGCCCTTTAAGTTGAAACGGAGTGTCTGGTTATGGCGAGCTGGGCTGGTTTCTCGCAGTACCACATCCCCTTCTCCTGTGTGCGATCCTCGGCTGCTCTGCCTTGCGATAGACACCGGAGCAGCCGGGGATCGCCTTACGGGCAGCGCGTTCCTCGGGATTGACTGAAATAATGAGGAAAATGGCTCGGTGCTGTTTTAAAAATAATTCATTATGTGGCTCGAAAATTTGGGCTAATCCAGCGCAGCCTGGGCTGTATTTCTGCCTCTCTTTATTCAGCCGCTTAACCAATCCCTCGTAATTGTCTAATCCTTTAAACATATAAATGTGGATGGGTAGTTGGATTTTTGTTCGTGCTCCAGTTACGTTTTGATTGGCACAGGACAGTTTTTCCCTACATTTGGAAAAGCGGAGGGGATTATCCATATATGCAGTAGAGCGAATAATGATTTTTATCTCCATGTTTAAACAAAAAAACACAGCACCAAATTTTGGGGGGCGGATATGAGGAGAAATATATATAAATCCTCGCTTTTGGGCGTGTTTGATGTGAGGCTTTAAAAGTTGTAGTTTATATTGCGTCTTGTCGTCTGCGCCGATTTCTTTAACGGAGGGTGTCCCTTGGCAGGGAGGGTGACCTTCGGGACACTTTGCCTCGGTATTCTATAGATTTGGTAAAAACTGCAGTTGACTCCAGCTGACTGCCGCTATCGATTGCCTGCCCGGCTGCAAGGCTGACCGGGGGAGGTGGTGGAACGATGTGTGTGTGGTTTTGGGGATGAAGGGGAGGGGGGGGCCTGCGCACTATGTCGAAGCTGCCCCCCTTCTCCTTTCCACCCCCCCCGCATCCCCCTAAATTTCCGAATTAAAATACATCCGCATTGCAGAGGAAAGGGGAGCCCGGGGCCGGCGAGTTTAAAGTATGGCATCGAAACGGGAACGGCTGGTGGAAAGTTTGGCTAAACACGCGAGGCGTCCACGTTTCTCAGGCAGGCAGACAAAAGCGGGATGGGGGGGGGGGGGGAAGGAAACCGCGGTGTTATTAATTAAAGAAGGGGGGCGGCGAGAGGAGAAGGGGGAGAGATCACCCCAAAGCCCGGCTTCCCCGGGCTCCCCGGGGCGAACAATGCGGCGCCGCTCCCGCACCGCCGGGCAGGGGCCGAGAGCGCGACTCCCGGGGGAGGAAGGCAGGAGAGACGAGGGCGGACAATGTGCAGGGGTGCTCGGTCTCCCGCTCACAACTTCGCGGCGGCGCTTTTATTTAACCCTTTCCCCCCTCTCCTGTTTCCCCCCCCAGCCCCTCCCCATGTTCGTTTTTTGCAGGGGGCGGCGGTGCCGGCGGGGCGCGCTGGCGACGGCGGCGACAGCAACAGGTTGCCGGGGCTGTGATGGAGCCCGCGGGCCGCCGGCCACGCCGCCGCCCGGCCAGGTTCGCCCCGCTCCCCGTGACGTCACAAAGGGACGGGCCTGCGCGCCGCGGAACCTTCGGCGCCCCCCCAGCCCTGCGCCCCCCCGTCCCTCCGTGACGTCAGAGCCGAGGCGGGGCGGGGGCGGGAGGAGCCCCCGGGGCAGCGCTCGGCGGCGCCGCGGGGGAGGGAGGCAGGGACGGAGCCCGGGGGCGGCCGGGCCAGGTGAGCAGGTGCGGGGCTGCCCTGCCGCCTTCGGGGCGGGAGGAGAGCGCCGGGCACGTCGCCCTGTGGTGACACGCGTGTTGGCACGTCTGCGGCCCGTGACCTTCGGGCGCTACGGCAGCCCGGCGGAGCGCGCCGCCGCCTCCTCTTCCTCTTCCTCACCGGTGCCGGCATAAGCTTCGCCTGCACCTGGAACAATGCTCCCGGTGTCGGGCCATGTTGCCCACCTCGAGTCCCTGGTTCCCCTAGGCCGGAGGTGATGCTCTGCCGAGAGGAGCGAGGGCAGAACTGCCGCACGAGCACCGAGTTCGTGGCCCCACTCCTCGAGTCACTGCGAGTTGTCACAGAACGGTTTGGGCTGGAAGGGGACCTTGAAGTTCACCTGGTTCCAACCCCCCTGCCGTGGGCAGGGACACCTACCACTAGATCAGGTTGCTCAGAGCCCCGTCCAACCTCTGCTTAGACTGGCCTTGTGTCAGGAGTGGAGCCTGTTCAGGCTGCTGCTTCTGCTATTTTTTTCTTTTCAGCATTTGCGGAATGAATTCTAAAAACAAGAAGGTAGTGAGAACAATGGAGTAAAGCCTCCGTGTTGTGGGCTGCCGTAGCAGGGCTTGGCTCCCTGCTCTATAAGTGCTCGCAATTGAAAGTTCTCTTAAACTTAGGGAGGGAGCGCTATCTTTTGCGATTGGTAACCCAGGAATGAGGAAATCAGAGTATGCATCTTTTCTTCCTGTGGTTTAAAAATGCTATCACTTAATTTTTAAAAGATCCATGGCTGACTCATACAACTCTTTCTTTTCACTTTACCCTCCTCCTTCTCAAACATCTTTACATATCAAATATTGCCTTTTGGCTCCAGCCTCACAAAACTGACAGCTTTGTAAAGCATCCACCAAGAAGCCAGACTGCATTCAGTATGCGTTTGGAATTAATAGTTCTTGATTCAAAAGCTTTCATGTCTTGAACGTAATTTCACAGGTGCGTTTTTCTGACCATTTTTGTGATGCTCAAATAGCAAATCTTCTGTTCTTGCTAGCTTAAGTTTCAGAGTATCAGACCTGGATTACCACCTTAAAATACCTACACAGTTCTGCCACAGTAGCAGATGGTGAAGTATAATTAAGGGGTAATGTCACTACTGTCACCTTGTGTGATTTGTTTCCTTGTCCTTGCAGAAGTAAAAGTGCTGTAGTCTGCCATGAGGTGACACGCTTCACCTACGGATGGCCTGGTAAGCCCCTCAGACAGAGGGCCAGCAAGGCCTGGCCAGGATTAGCGTGCTGCAGACATCTGAGAGCTCCTGTGCCTGCTGCAGTCTTGGATACAATACTCTTTATTTAAGTATGCTTGATGTGGGCTCAGGGAGTTTTGCAGGGTGGAGTGGGGGTGATAACTGCAGCGTCACCACCTTCTTCTGCATCAGGAGCATTTGTGCAGGAGCTTGACCCTGGGCACTCCAGGGCTTCAGCCTGCCCTTATTTTCCTGTGAATGGTTACCATTTCTTTCCCCCATTCTCACAACTGATGACAGGCTCTAAGTTTTGCCCACTTCCTACAAGAAATAATGTAAATAGGCTGCTGGTATCAGAGATAGTATTTAGTGTAAGTTGCATATTTGTTCACATCACTTTTTGGGGCTTTTTTCTGTTGAGTCTGTCTTGCACTTGTAATAAGAATTTCAGCAGCATAGCTGCTCAAGTTTTTCTTTTCCTGTAGGAAAAGCTTAAAGATGCTAGCTGCACTCGAGAGCTACTTTTGGGTCCCTCTTAATCTTCTGGTCTCTTGAAGCGTTATGTTGTAAGTGGCTATATAAGTAGAAACTAATAATTAAAATACATTTTTTCTTTAAATGAATATTTTACTATCAACAGATGCTTTGCCCTGAGATACTAATGGACTCCTGCTCACTCTGATGGTCTGCAAGCCAGGAGCAGTAAGGTGCTGCACAGAGTGAACTAGAGTGAATGAAGGCCCCTGTGAAGAGTTTCTAATATTCGTTGAGCACTTTCACCTTCTCTTGTGAGGTCTACTAAGCCAGCATTAAGAACATGTTACCCCTTCCTTTTCTGTAGTAATAGCTAATGTTATGCATATGCTAAAGTGTGGTATAAACGTCAGCTGATTCTGTAAGGCAGTAGCATTCCCTCCATTTTATTGTTTGAGATGAAAAAGGAAGAAGTCTAAATTACTTGCCTGAAGCTATGTGCTGTAACAGTGGCAGAGTTGGAACTAATCTGTATTTCTGCTGCCTTCTCCAATATTCTATCCTGTAGCTTACAGGCTGTTGCTACAAGGCATGGCATCTACATTATAAGAGACTACTTTATGTAGTTTCAACTTTCTTCAAAATTTTCTCCCGAGTTACAGTCTGGACTGTTAGATTAACGTTATATTCTTAACATAATAAAGGTCTTTCAGTATGGATGCTTCTACTTTTTTTTAAGAGTTGATCATACCCTGCAGCTGATAGAGACCAGTTGATACTGTGATGACTCAGCTGTGGGAGTATTACATAAAGTAGGTCAGTTTTTAAATCTCCAAGTCTGAAGCTAAAGAAAATCCACGTTAAAATTTATGTTTTGTTTATACACATCACTGTTATTTCCTGGCTTGAACGTAAGTGAAAGCTCTTGAGGAGGCAGGACATGTTTCTGGGGGTTGATTTGGGGTTTGCTTTAGCCCATTTTTATTGTATAGTGACTGAATTCAATCCACTTGACGGTAGGGGAAAGACCAGCTGCTTTCATTTCAAAAGTTTCCAGTTTGCAGCAGTCAAGTGAAAGAAAGGCTTTAAAGGCAATTTTAAAGTAGGGAAATGAAAAGTAGAGACACATTTATTATTTTTTATTACAAGCACCCAGCTTTTGTGTGATCTAGCAGATGTGGAATTTGCAGAGGAATACTTGATTCTTCAAATTTGCATGTAAAACATTCTGGTTTCTCCCCCTTAGTCTTTTGCAGGGCTTGCTTCCCAACTATAAATGTAAACCAAGTGTAAATGATGCATTGTTTGCCTTAGTGGGCAGACAGTCTGAAAACAATAGTGCTGATGGATTTGACTGCCTCTGTGTAAGATTAACGGGACATTAAAATTCAAGTACATTAATGCAAATTTCAGTGTTGCCAAACCTGAACTTCCCTTAAGTGTTTCCTGGTGCTGATGGCTCTAAATGTCCCTGCCCCACAGGCCAAAACTTCAGATTGACAGTTTTAAACCCGTTGTTAAGACTTTAAAGAAAAGGGTAAAGTATACCTGTAGTTTAATGTTCACATTGAATGATGGCACATGGTACACATAGACTTTATGTACTTATCCACCATTTTTTATTTAAATCATTTTTAAGTGGCAGGAAGCCACCAGGAAACTTAAAATCTACAAATCGCTTGTAAAATTCAGGTCTAGTATGTGAGGATTACTTGGCGCTGAAATTCAGATACAGGAAATAATGTGATTGCCAAAATCTATTTGGTGTTCTCTTAGATCTTTGATCGGTTGGGTGTTTTGCTGGCTCATTACTTCTGGGACTATTGGATGCAATCCTTCTTGGTTTTTAACAGGCAGGTTTTATTTGGGAGCTCTTGGTTTTCATTTGGATTGGTGAGTTTATTTCAGTCAGTCAAAAAAACGTTTCCTCAGTGAAGTAGTAGGTAGAAGGCTTAAAACCATTTGCTGTTTCACTTGCTCGGGTTTCACACTTTCCCTTGTGTAATGACATCCTGTTCTGAAGTTGTTCCTTCAGTAATCTGACAGAGGCCTGGTATTTCCAGTGTGGGCTGTGGGAAAGGAATAAACCCTTTAATTATAGCAATGAGGTCTTGTTTGAAAATATGCTAGCTCTCCTTCCCTCTGCATGTCCTGTCTTTTTGTCTGACTCTTCCCTATGCAGAAAAGGGATCTGAAGCTGTAAAATGCTGCTGTTGAAGTTGCTCTGCAAGGGTGGTCACAATGAGTGGCAAAGCTGAGCAGTGGCTGGGAGCATTGCCACACCGAGCCCTGCGTCTCCAGGCTCGGGATCACGGCTCCTTCCTCTGTGAGCAGACGGATGCTGGGACTGCACCCCATCTGCTCCTGTGCCAAGTTTATTGGCTTAATTTATGCTTCTGCAGGAAGCTATTCGGAGTGACCAGCCTGGCTGAGCACAGAAGCAGGGAAAGAGGCACACACAGGTGGAAATCATTGTTTCACTGGTACACATAGGGAAGATATAAAGCTGCTTCAGCATTTGTGCAGCAAATGTCTCATCCTGGACTATTGTTTGATGCATCACAAACAATGTTCCCTATTTTAATCTGAGAGACAAAAACCTCCTTTAGTGGGTATAAAAATGGGATTGTGTGATTAAAAATACACTGAAGATGAAGTGAGAAAGATAAACTAAGGTCTCTGTATACTTTCTGCATCTAGGTCAGGCCTTTGGAGCTCATGTGGTTTCTGTTCAGGTTCAGTTTAGTGCCTGTAGAATTGCTACAGGCGGAATTGGACATTTTGACACTGCTAAAATCAGTTCAGCAGAAATGTGATGATGCCCCCAGAAGTGTCCATAATTGCATCACTTGAGGGGCATGATTTAATCCTTTCTAAATGTCTCTCCTCTGTAGTCTGCTTTGTCTTTTCTGCATGGCTTCTTGCCATCTTTTCTGCCAGGTTCTTCCCTTGATTTGCTGTGCAAAAAAGACAGCCTTGGGATCTGTGACTGAGAAGAAATGCAAATAATAGGAAGCTGAGAAACTGTGGCCTGCTGCTGTACTCCAGGAGGGTTTGTGGTATTTGAGTCCCTGGTGCTCTGCTTTCAGTTCTTTAAGCTCGCCTTTCTGGTCTGACATCTTTTGGATGACGTGATAGTTGCAGGAGATTAGCGTATTTTGGCACACACATGCTATGATGACTGGCTAACGATATTTACAGCGTTCAAAAATAAACCATGGGAACTCATTCTGACATAATCTACTAATCTTAGTTTTGCACTTTGATGCTGTGTTGTCTGAGCCAAGTTAGGATAACTATATATTGCAAGCAATTCATTTTTAGCTTTGCTTGCAGATGAGTGTTGCGGCAGTGCATGCTTTTCAATTAAAAATGATGGGAGTGAATTTGGAGAAATTATCAGCTCTTTCAAGTATATGCTTATTCTGTGCCTATTTTTGAAACAGTTTTATGTGAGTGGGTAAGGGATACATGCTCCATGATATTTCTGGATATGTTGTGTACTGGCATTTTGATGAGGTTAGTTTTTTCCTTCACTGCCCACAAGAATGGGATGGTCTTCTCTGCCCTTTCCCACATTTGTATGTTATGGGAAGGACGTTATTTTCTCTGTGAGGATTGTACTTTATTCTTTTTCTGGTTAACAAAAAAATCTGTTACTGCCTTGGGTAAACTTTAGTCTTGTGCTAGGCATCTTGCTAGTTATGCTGCATTTGGGAGAGTCCATCCAAGAGAGTAAGCTTTTGAGGCTCCCAGGGGGCAGGAATTCAATTTGCCCTGGACCTTGACAACTCCATTGAAACGGCTAAATTACGATATTCTAGCCACATTTTGGAATGGCGTGCATGTTTAAGAATTGCAGTAAGGAACTTGGTGATGTAAAGCCTGTGAATCAAGTCAATGCCAATGTACAAATATTTTTTCAGGTTGCTACTATTGAAGTGGACAGAAACCATGAGTCTTGGACAGGAGTCTGTTCAGTCTCTCACTCTTTGAGATGCTTATCATTATTTTTATTAGTTGTTATATTTAGCATATAGTTTCCTGTGCTGTTCTAAAACTAGGAGTCTTTATGTTCACATAGTTCATTGCATTCAGATTTTTAAGGTGCTGCATGCTACCACCTCATGTTTATAGCTTTTTTTCCTTTTTATAAGGTACACATTAGTCTGAGGGTGACTTAAAGAAGGGATATGTTTTCTTCTTTCTCACCTTTTTTATTTTATGGGTATTACTTTCAGCCACTTTGTCCTACAGTTCTTTTTGGTACATTGAAGTTGTAAGCCAGATCTCTCAGCTGCAGCATGCATGGTAAAACCCATAAAACACAAATTTTGAACCCTGAACATAATGTCAGATGAATTAGGTTTTTAACTCATCTTGAGCTGAAAAACCCCTAAAATCCAACCTACTTTTCTTTTGATTTCAGCCCTAGAAAACTTGATTCAGACTTTTGAGTTCATAAAACTCAAAGCCAAGTGAAAAGAAGGCTTTCTGTTACTGTTTTTTAAGTTGACTGGTAACTAAGCTGGTGTTATATGAGGTTCCTTTTTGGGTGGGTTCCAGGTGACCAGCCTTAATTTGACTGTATTTCACATGTGGATGACCTAGATGGACACCTGAGATGTGGTTTTCTGATTGATAGTCACTTTTTTACCCGCTCCTGAAGTGTAGTGACAATGATGATAATTCTCATGGCCTGTTGCCACCTTGCAGACTGGTGATAGCTTTTCTTCAGATTAAGGTTCCAGCAGCAGCAGAAAGACTGCCTTTTTCTTACAATCTTGTTTGGGTATAGTAGAGCTTTTAATAAATTATTTGAAGAAGTACTACTCCAACTAACTTCTGCTTTATAGCCACAACTGAAGGGGACATTTTCTGGTCTCAGAAAGCCAATGTTAATTTTTTTTTGTTGTAGTTATTCACTTTATAATGGAGATATAGTAATATCACTTTGTATGGCAAGCAACTTCATGTAACTTAAAAGCTGGACTTGTGGCATGTTATTGTAACTGTAACTTGTGAATTATTTATAATTTGGAAGAAATAATGATTATCCTAATGGCAAATAATTTTGAAGCAGCTTTTTTTTTTTTTTTTCCCCAAATCTGTATTGCCTTGAACCAGTAAAAACAACAAAATAAGAAGTAGCTGTCAAGAGAAGCTGTCCTTTCCTGTTCTACTCTCTTTTTTCCTAATCTATGGTTGGATGTCCTGTGTTCCACTTAAGTTTTTTGCCTTCAGTCACAGTGTTTTGAATGTGGAGACTAGTGAGGTGGCTAGTGCTGTGATTCTGTGGTTATTCTGAGCCTGCACTGCACTGGAAGAAGTGGTTCAGCCTTCCCTCTGGCTGCTTGTTCCCCTTCTCTTCTGCAGGCTGAAGTGTGCCAGGTGATCACTCCCAACTCAGATTGGGGACTTTAGAGGTAAAAACTGAACTGACAAAGTGTGGTTGATTTTTAATGTGGTTTTATTTAATATTGCAGTTTGTGATGTAGCTGGAAAAATACTTGGTCTTGGGAAAATGTTACATGGACACCCAGTAAAGTGGCAAGGGAGGGGTAGGATTGCATCTGTTAGCAATAGAGTGAGTTTAAATGGACTGTGAAATTATGACTAAATAGGAATCAAGATACATGTTTTATTTCATAGCAAGCAAAATTAGCTGTCCTTGTCTGTTTTAAGGGTTGTTCAGATTTAGACTTTGCTGTACTGCCTTACTGCTGGAAGCGTGGTGACTATTAAACAGCATTGAAACGAAGTTAGGCCTCACAGGTGAAAATGAAGCTAAAGGTATTTGTGCCTGTGGTGATGGCAGTGCTATAATCATTTCCAAAGTGCTAAAATCAGTTAAAATAGAATCAAAAATGTTCTACTGTTACATGTTGTGCTTGCTTAGGTAGGATTTGAACAATTTTGTACTTCAACGAGAGAAATAAAAAGAGGAAGAAAAGAAAATTAAAATAGCTATGCTACTGGAAGCTAAGTTCCACTGCAAAATGTGGTAGAAGAACTGCTACTCTTTTTCAGCCACACACACCCATCCCATATGCAAGAGCTCTGCTGTGGAATTGAAGCCAGTGTACTGTTCTATTTTCTACATCTTAGGATAAGAACCTGCTTACATAAGGGAAGTCATCCAGGAATTTCCTATGGCTTTGTTTTATTTTGTACCACTGAATAATAAGTTCAGATAGCTTCTCATGTTAAAACTACTCATGGCTATTGAATGTGCACACGAACCGAAGTGCTTATGCATTTTTGCCCGGGGTTCCCAAGTAGTGTGAGAAGGCCGAGCCATGTCAAATCAAAAAGATACAAAAACCAAGGCTTCCTTTAATTATAGAAACAGCAGGATGTGGCATCACATGCTTTTTTCTCACCATTGAAGCCAGCAGTGGTGACTCTGAATCATTGCTTCATGGTATGGTGCTGTGGCCATATCAATACAGCCAAAGAGCTGCATTTGAAATAGGGTCACTGAAATTATGAGACTTAAAGAGTAGTTATTCCCAAGCTCTTTTTTCTTCCACCTTCTCATCTTTAAGTGGTCTGGTTTCAGTGCAAGCCTGCAGGACTTTTTAGTGACACTGTTAAGGGAGCAGCAAGGCACAAGGACCTCTTTGGCTTTCTGTGGATTAAAAAGACGTGGAATTGGCACCCTCAGTTTTGATCCAGCAAGGCACTGAAGCACGTGCCAGTTTCAAATGTATGAATACTCTTACTGACGTCAATTGAAGTACTTGGAGCTTATGAGTTAAGCACATGCCGAAGTGGTTTTCAGGGCTTGAGATTTTGTTGTTCCCGTGTAAGAGTGTGTGCAAGTGTTTGCAGGCAAGAATGTTAGTTTTCTAAAAGGTTGTTAGCCATTTAATGGTTTTAATGGCTTTACTAAATGTAATACTGCCTGTTTCAGGATTTTTTTCTGAAATGTTTCAGGTTTTTTTTTTCTTTTTCAGCCTCTTAATGTTTTATTTAAAGGTAATTGTTATTTTTCTTTGCTTACTCTTCATTATAGTGTGCATGTGTGCATAGTGCTGGCATTTTTACAGTTCACTCTCTCCTATGTTCTTGCCTTCCACTGCTGTGCTTTTCTCTCTCACTTCTGTGTAATCCTGACTGAGGTCCTCTATCTATTTTGTCCTTGTCTAAGAAAATCAGCTCTTACAAAGTTCCTTCCATCTCTTTGCAAGAAAGCAAAATGGACTGTCATTGCAGTATTTTCTTTTCCCGAAGGCTGGACAGGGAGATGAGGCAAAGTTCATGCAGCTCATTTTGGGGACCAGATCCATAGGAAGCACTTTGGAAGGGGAAGAATTGTACTGTTAATACTTGTCTCTCAAGCCTGTGTGCAGAATTTGAGTATTGTTTATAGAAAATGCTGGCTATGTGTTTGTTTTGCAAGGCTTAACAAATTGTTAATGCACAAATACTGTGGAGGAAAGTAGAATGTGGCCCTGCTCATTCCTTTTTTACAGTTCTTTTACGAACTTTTGGGAAATTAAATCCTGCTGATGTGAGCATTCAGGGAAAGCTAATTTCATGTTTTGTGTGAATTAAAAGCTTTTATTTATAAGCCATTAATATTCATGCTCTTTCAGTCAAGAGCAGCATTTTGTGACACAACTGACCAATGATAAAAGCCACTGCATAGCTTTCATTATTGAAAGGGGGTCTACAATCTTTGTTTGAATATGATCTTCCAAAGTAACTAACAATGGTCAGATTACTTGCAGCCTGGGTGACAGACCAGGTATAATAATTTCTGGACCATGTTGCTTTGGAGAGCAGGAATATGATTTTCACCAGAAATATGCTATGAAAAATATGATCTCCTGAAGTCTTTTGAGTAATACAATTTCTTGATCTCATACTTAGCATTTCATTATCATACTACTTGAGTTGGCTTCTGTGAAAGCTGGTCATCTATTGTGCAAAAGATGGGAATGTGTTTTATCATGTAAGTAATTATGTGTGTCCCCATATCCTCACAGCCCCCCCGCATATTTTCTTGTATATTTGTTGACTCCTTTTCTTTTCTTGGTGTAATTTTATGGCCTTTACTCTTGCAGTCAGGGATGCAGCAAGATTAATTCCCTGTAGGCATTTTGGAAATTAGTGGTTCTCTAATTTAGATAGAGGAAAGTGAAGGGGTAAACTATTATTTATTTTTCTTTATGCTAGCTTTGCTCAGATCCTGCCAATGGTGAGCCTGTCATTTCTTCCCCCTGCAGACTGCCCATCTCCTAAGGGAATATAGCTACTGCTGTCCTCATGCCTGACGACTCAGGCCAGTCTTGCTAGGCTCTGCCTCCTGGCCCAAATGGGACCAGATACAGCATTCCTGCACGCATGCCTATCTGTGTGTGTCCTGCTTTCCTCTCTGCAGTAGCATTTTTGCCACAGGGATTACTTAGCAAAGTGGTCAGAGATGTTTTTGGCATTTTGGAACATTTTTTTCTGGATATGCCTTTGTCTCTTAATTTTTTTCTCTCCTTTTTGTGTCCCTGTTCACCTTGCGGAACCACAAGTAGATGGTACTGACTGACTGAAGGACTGCCTTGTTATCAGCAATCTCACAATTTGTCTACTTCACTTGAGGCCGTTTCAGAGGTGCTTCAAATCTCTGTCAGTTTATTGCTTGCACTCTACAGCATGCCTGCAGCTTCATCTCGGGCTTTGTTGGGAGCAGGAGTACATTCAGCTCTGGAGAGCTAACCTGCTCTCCAGCACAGTTCATGAAACCAAGGCTAGTATAATGTCATAAAAATGGCCAAGATATTTATCAGTGGTTGGAGTCCTGCTCATGTGGAGGAGGGCTTGCCCTGAGTTCTGGTCCTGAGGTCCTACCACTGTCCCTGTCTTTAGCCATCTTTGTGGTATTTTTGCTGCTTTTACTTGTGTGTTCTCCCTCTGCATTGTGTTGTAGTCTTGTCTTCAGAGGGTCAGCTATGGCATGTCTGATGGACATGATAGCGTAGGAGGGAAATGCTTCTCTATCTTTTGCAATGGAAGAATATATATGAGCACACTATGCTGTTGCCTTTGGAATAGGACTTTGAAGGTGTCTGTTCAGTGTGTTCTGAAATTCGTCCCAACCATCCTCTGCACAGGTGATTTATCACTATTCTTCTGTTCTCTTGGAGCAGTAAATCGCATCTCGGCTGAAACGTTATCCTTTCTTCTTAAAAGACTTCATGGTGCTGTACTGCTTCTTCCTTAATTTCATGCTCTCCAAATGTCCAGGTATTTTTCTCCTGAGAAGACCTAGTATTTATTCAGGAACCCACGTGTTAGAGAGCTGAAGCAACACAGTGTAGCACTTCCGCTTTGAAAGGTCACCCCTCTGAGAAGAATGCCATTAAGAGAGTTTCAGCTGGTTTCCATATTTCAAATCCATTGACTTTCTCAGTGATTAGATCATCTTCAATAAAAGCAAGCATCTGCAGGTGATCTGGGGGATTTAATACATAGTTTAATTTCAACATATGTGAATAATGTTAAGCCTGTGCATAAACTAGTCTCGTTAAGGAGAACAAAATAACAGGTGATCTCTTGAGACAATCCTTTGAAACAAGAAGTAGTATCTTATAAATTTTTAAGTACAGAAGAAGGAAGATTGAATAGCTGTCATTATTTGAGACAAAGACTGTAAGAACAAAGCTAATACTGGCTGACTGATCCACCATTTAGCTTAGAAAGTAGGACAACATCTAGTAAGGGACATCTTGGTTATAGTGGACTTCTTATCAGGGCTCCTAATCCTGTCACAGATAAGAGAATATAAAACTGTCAAAAATGGGGTTTTAAATCTGCATCTCCCAGGTTGCTGTAACTTGTATGTCTGCTTACTTTTTTTTCTTTTCTTTTCTTTCTTTTGTTTTTTCCCATTTTTGTAAATTGGTTTGATTGATTGTTCATGTAGGAAGTTCCTAGAGAGAAATCAAGAGAATTTCCACAGGGACGTGGCCTTTAGGTTCTTGTAAGTGTCTGTTCTCAGGGTTGCCTATCTCAAAACTTTGTCTTCTTACATTGATGTATTTCATATTTGGTTCATGCCACAACATGAGAAAGTTCTCTGGAGCAAAGTGTAATGCTATATTGCCTCATTTCATACATTTTTCCAGTGCCTAGAATGTCTTAATGCCCATTGAAATAAATTTGAACAGTTATTGTGTTGGCAGGGTTGGTAATCTCACAGCTCTTGTTGTAGAAGAGTCATGTGTCTGGCTCTTCCAGGACTAGGTGGTAGAGCTGCTTTATTGTCACTTCTGAAAAGTGGTTCTGCCCACGTTTTCTCAATACAGGGAGTCTCCTTGTTACTGTCAGTTTTTGACTTTCTTGTGTGGAAGACCAATGCAAATATTACCAGCGTTTAATAACAGCCTACCTTTGGATGAGTATAACTGTTGTGATAAAAATGATAGGAGGTTGGTTGCTCATTGATTTGTGCTTTTTGGCCATTTTCCAGGATGAAACTAACTTCATTACACAAGAGTTTCAGAACACTGCAGAGTTGTTAATTTATTTCCTTTGACTGCTATAGAGCTGACAGCTTGCCTTTGGAGGGTCATATGTTCAAAAGCTACCAATTGGATCTTGCTTCATTTTAGCCAAATGTGGCACAGAGTCTGAAGTGCATTTCATCCCTGATATCCCCCCCCCCCTCCTTTTCTTTTACCCCCCTTAACTTTTTTACCTTTTGCTCTCTATTCCTTTTCCCTCAGTTCCTCCTGCTAAAAATAAAAATTATCTGGGAACAGAGGCAATGCCACAAATAAAAGGAATTAGTTTTTTTGTTGTTGCTGCCTGTAATTTTGGTTTCTCTTAATAATACTTTATTTTCTCTGGTTAGATCTGTGTTGTAGAGAAATGCATGCATTTCAAAAATGGTAAATGGAAGATATTTTTCATCTTGCTATTTTTG